CCCTCCAGAACAGCCCCGAGACCCCCCCAGGGGTGACCCCGGACTGGCAGGGCCACGCCCACTGGGTCTTAGCCACGCCCACAAGTCGTTAGCCACGCCCTCAGTCACTGGACACGCCCACGTGCATTATCTCCGCCCACAAATGCACGGCCACGCCCACTTGAAAAGCCCCACCACCACTCTCAGCCACGCCCTGGCCACACCCACTCTTAACCACGCCCCAACCCCACCTATCATTAATTCCACTGAGCCACACCCACTCCCTTAGCCCCGCCCCAACCACACCCATCACTAACCACACACAGCCACACCCACCCTTAGCCCCACCCAAGCCACACCCACCCCAACTCCACCCAACCACACCCACCCTTTCACAGCCCCCAACCACCCCCGGCAGCCCTCAAATCCTGCCCACAGCCCTCCACGACCACCCCCCATGGGGAGTCCCCCCCAGAGTCCCCCCATCACCCAGAGGCTCAGCCCCCCCCGGCCCCCTCCCCTTGGTGAACCCCCAATAGACTCACAGTGTGAGGAGCCCCCCCGGGACCCCCCGGAGGGCCCGGTGGTCCTTCCAGGGGCAGCGGAGGGCGCGGGAGGGGTCGGGCCCCTCCTGGCGCAGCACCTGAGCCACGAGCGCGGGCTCGGCCACGTGAACCGTGAGCACCGGCCCGAACCGGGCCTTCCAGAGCGGCCCGAACCGCGCCCGGCCGTGGACCTGGGGGGCACGGGGGGGTCACACCGGCCCCAGCGGGGCTCCCACGGCGGCCCCAACTGGGACCGACACCCGGTTCGCGGGCACGGGGGGCTCGGGGGCACCGGCGGTCGCACAGACCCGGCCTCGGGCTGGGGGGCACCGGGGGCGCACCGGGAGGTCACACCGGGGGTCCTTGGGCAGGGAGGGGTCGGACAGGATCGGCTGCAGCGCGGGCCGGGGGGGTCTCGGTCTCCCCGCGGTCCCCGCCCCGCTGTACCCCCCGGGGACACGGGGGGGGCACCCCCGGTACCCCGTCCCCGGTGCCGCTGCCCCACCCCCGGCACTGAGGGGACACCGGGAGCTGTTCCTGCCCCTGCGCAGCTCCGATCCCAACTCCCCCCCCCGCTACGGATCAGTTTGGGGTCCCCTGACCCTCCCCCAGCCCCGGGGCAGTGAGGGGGGGTCCCCTTTGCCCCCCTCCCAAGCCCCAGGAATTGAAATCAGGGTCTCCCCACACCTTGGAGTGTGGAGGGACCGCGGTGCCTCCCGTCCCCTCCAGGACTCGAGGGGGTGGGTCTGGGGTATCCCGCGTCTCCTCCAAGCTCCAGGTCGGTGACCCAGAGCCCCCCCAGCCCCTCCGTACCCTCCCCCAGGACAGCAGGACCAGGACCCCGCCGGGCCCTGCCGGCTCCAGAGCAGCACGAAGAGGGTCCCCCCGCCCCCTCCAAGCCCCAAGTGGTGGCAGCAGGGTCTCCCCGTCCCTTCCAGTGGCATTGGGGTCCCTTTGTCCCCTCCAAGCTCTAGGTGGTGGGATCAGACCCCCGGGCAGCCCCCAACCTACCCAGCCCACAGCCTTCCCGCTCACAGCCCCCTCGCCCCCTGGGCAGCCTCAAAACCCCGTCCACAGCTCTCAGACCCCCATGGGGAACACCCGACCCCCGGGCAGACCCCATGGGGAGCGCCCTGTCCCCTCCAAGCCCCAGATGGGGGTCTCGCTGTCCCTTCGCCCCCTCCAAGCCCCAGGGCAGAGAGCCCCGCACCCCTAGCCCAGAGGGGCTGCCTGTCCCCCCTCCCCGGCCCCATTACCTGCATCTCGTGCAGCCTCCGCACCCCCCCCCGGCACAGCAGCTCGAAGATGAAGGAGGAGGAGCTCGGCCCCGGCATCTCTGCCAGGCCTCGGGGGCGTGGGGGGGCCGGGGGACGCCGCGGGACCCCCGGCTCGGGCAGGGAGTGGGACAGGACAGCCCGGAGTGGGGGGCGCAGGGTGGGGGGCATGGCGGGTTGGGGGGCTCGGGTGGCACCGGTGGTACCGGGTGAGGCGGGGGCGGCGGGGGGGACACGGGTAGCGCTGGTGGCACCGGAGGGAGCGGGGGACAGCAGGGGAGGGTCGCGGGGGGAATCTCCGGGCGCGTCTCGGAGCCGATCCTCGACTGAGCCGCGGCCCCGGGGCCGGGCCTTTATAGCGCCCACGAGGAGCCGTCGGGGCCACGCCCCCTCCGCCAGGGCCACGCCCCCAAACCCGCCCCGTTCGCCCGAAACCCCGCCCGTTTCATAGTTAGACACGCCCCATGGGCGCTAAGCCCCGCCCATCTCCGAGGGTTGATTGGTATGTTGGGTCCCCTCGGGCCAATCAGCGCCAGGAGGAGGCGGGGCCTCGGTGGAAAGCTCCGCCCCCCTCCCGGAGTGGGCAGAACCGGGGGCGCGAACGGGGCCGGACCCCCAAAAAACCCACCAAATCCCCCCCCCCAAACCCACCCTCCCAGTCACAAACTGGTCCCAGCACCCCCCAAACTGGATGTGCGGCATTTGGGGTTGGGGGGGTGCCTTCCCACGGGGGGAGGAGGGGACACGCAGTGGCCCCGCCCAGTCCCAGTCCCACCAGTGCACCCCAGTGCCGGGGAGGGGCTGGTCTGACCCCCGGGACACACGCACGGCGGTTCCCCCCCACCCCGTCCCGCATTCCCGGGAATTTCCGCCTTGCGCCACCGGGCGGGGCCTCTGGAAACCCCCCCGCGTGGGGAAGGGTGGGGGGGTCACTGGGGTCCCCCCAACCCCCCCGGGGGTTTCCTGCGATGGGGAAACTGAGGCAGGAACCGGCCCCGCCCTCCCCATTTTTGGGGAAGGTGCAATTCCCGGCAGCCCCGTGGGGCGGGGGAGGGGGGAGTGACATATTCCCCCCCGGAGGGATTTTGGGGTGGGGGGGTTGGAAACACGAGGCTTGGGGACACTTTGCGGCTTTATTAAAAAACGGGGGTGCGGGGGAGGGTCCCCGGGGGCTCGCGGGGGTCCGGCCCCCCCCCGGCCCCTCAGGGCCCCCCCGGGGGGGGGTCGGGGCGGCGGCGGAACACGGCGGTGCGGGGGGGCCGCCCGGCCCGCTGGGCTCGTTGCCCCTCCTCCGTCACCGCCGGCAGCAGCGGCACCAGCGGGTCCGCGGCCTGGGGGGGCACAGGGGGGCTGGGACACCGGGGACAGCAGGGACCCCCTGGGGACTCCAGGGAGCCCCCCAGGACACCAGGGACAGCCTGGTAACCCCCCAGGGGCATCCGGGATCCCTCCAAGTACCACCCCCCACTGACCCCTCTGTGACTTCCCCTTGTCCCCTAGAAGCCCCCCATGA